AAAAAAGGGGACTCCCCCATCACTGGAGAATGTGAGTATTAATCCCACTACTTCTTGCAGGCTAAGCAAACATGCTACCACTTGATCTAATTCCCCAGTTCTGTCAGCATAAGACCTTTTGGTGACTCTTACCTCCTCTACAGGGATGTCTGTCTTCTAGGTTAGTGATTCTTAACCAGTGGTATGAGTACCCTTAGAGGTACTTGACAGAAGTCTGGGGCAGGTACCACAACATAACTGAAATTTGGAAAAAACTGAATTTGTTTTAAATTTTACAGCACTTTATTATTTTTGTATTTTTTACACTGCAAAATTTCATCGCCAGCCGAGCTACAATTAAGTTGTTTAATCAAATGTGTTGCAATGGTGGAAAATTTTTGTGCGTCTGAAAATTATAGGAACTGGGGGTACTTATTTGTTTTAAATAGGTAGTACTTACTTTTCTTTTTTTAAGAGTATTTTATTTAAAAAAAGGTTGGGAAACCCTGTTCTACACCAGTTAGTCATGGGAAAGGAAAACGCTCCAATGAGGCTTCTCCTCACACTCATGTTTGTGACCCTAATTCTTTTTCTGACATTGTGGGCAGATCTCAGGAAGGAGACTCCCTGCAGAAAGTCATAGTGGTCTCTAAGATTGCCCCTGCCCTGTAGCCGGTCTGACCTTGCCATTGTCATGGACTCTGTGAGGTCACTGCCTCCCAATCTTCTTTTGCCAATAAGCTAAGATGCTGCAAAAAGCCCTTGTGATGTCACTGCCTCACCCACTCTGGCCTTCCAGGGCTAATTTCCTACTCCAGGCAGTCCCTTTGCATGGCTGAGCTGCTCCCAAGGATGAAAATTACACATTTTTACAGGTACTGTCATCTGTCATATTAGGCATCACCTCTTGGGCAGGGGGAGGCTAAAGGCAGGAAATTGAGGGAGAGGTTGTGATAGGACAGTACCTGTAAGAAATTACAGTGTGGAGTGGAGTGTGGGAGACTCAGGGCACTCATCTGGGGAGTGTATGCTGGGAGTGGGGCTCAGGAGTGGGGTGAGGATCTGGGAGGGTATAGAAGTCAGGGCACAGGATTAGGGATGTGTGTGGGGGGAGGGAGCTTGAGGCTACGACTGTGTGTGTGTATGTGTTCAGGGTATCAATGGGACTAGATGTGTGGTTGCCCAGGTCGTGTCAGAGAGAGGTTTCTTCAACCATGGGATACTGTTTCAAGCACAAGGATTGTTTGGAAGAGACGGGATCCACCTAACCAAGAGAGGAAAGAACATCTTTGCGGGCAGGCTTGCAAACCCCATGAGGAGGGCTTTAAACTAGGTTTGTTGGGGGACAGTGACCAAAGCCCTGAGGTAAGTGAGAAAGTCGAGTACCAGGAAGAATCCCAAGGAGGAACGAGCAACAAAAGAGGACCCCTGATTCAGATGGAGAAGATAGGGAGATCAACTGGTTACCCTAAGGTGTTTATATACAAATGTGAGAAGCCTGGGAAATAAACAGGAAGAATTAGGAGCCCTGGCCCAGTCGCAGAACTATGATTTGATTGGAATAACAGAGATGTGGTGGGATGACTCGCATGACTGGAGCACTGTCATGGAAGGGTATAAACTGTTCAGGGAAAACAGGCGGGGAGAAAAGGAGGAGTTGCATTGAATGTAAGAGAGCAGTATGATTGCTCAAAGCTCGTATTTAAAGGAAGAAAAAACTGTTGAGAGTCTATGGGTTAAGTTTAGAAGTGGAAGCAACAGGAGTGATGTTGTGGTTGGTGTGTGCTATAGACCACTGGAGCAGGTGGATGAGGTAGACGAGGCTTTCTTTGGATAACTGAGAGAAGCTTCCAGATTGCAGGCCCTGGTTCTCATGGATGACTTTAACCACTCTGGCATCTGTTAGGATACAAATATAGCAGTACACAGACAATCCAGGAAGTTTTTGGAGAATGTAGGGGATTACTTCTTGGTACAAGTGCTGAAGGAACCGACCAGGGGCCATGGGCAGCTTGACTTGCTACTCACAAATAGGGAGGAACTAGTAGCAGAAGTAGAGGTGGGTGACAACCTGGAAAGCAGTGATCATGAGATGGTAGATGTCAGGATCCTGACCAAAGGAAGAAAGGAGAGTAGCAAAATACACTTCCTGGACTTTAGAAAAGTAGACTGACTCCATCAGAGAACTGATGGGCAGGATTCCCTGGCATGCTTACACGAAGAGGAAAGGAGTCCAGGAGAGCTGGCAGTATTTTAAAGAACCCTTATTAACAGGGCTCACCAAGCGCCAGTGAGCCCTGCTCACCAGTCACGCAGAAGCGCATGCTGCGCATGCACAGACCGTGCTGCACATGTGCTGACCATGCTGTGAGGCCACACCGGGCTAAAATCTACCCACCACGGGTGAGTAGATTTCCCTAACTGTCGACACCTGCTTATTAAAGGCACAGGAAGAAACCATCCTGATGCACTGTAAGAAAAGCAAATATGGTAGGCGACCAGATTGGCTTACCGGGGACAGCCTAGGTGAGCTTAAACACAAAAAAGAAGCTTACAAGAAGTAGAAACTTAGATGACTAGGAAGGAATATAAATATATTGCTCAAGAATGCAGGGGAGTTATCAGGAAGGTGAAAGTGAAATTGGAATTGTAGCTAACAAGGGATGTGAAGAATAACAAGAAAAGTTTCTACAGGCATGTAAGCAATAAGAGGGTATGGGGCTCTTACTGAATGAGTGAGGTAACCTAGTGACAGATGATGTGGGAAAAGCTGAAGTACCCAATGCTTTCTTTGCCTCTGTCTTCACAGACAAGGTCAACTCCCAGACAAATGCACTGGGCAACGCAGTATGGGAAGGAGGTGTACAGCTCTTGGTGGCGAAAGAATAGGTTAGGAACTATTTAGAAAAGCTAAACATCCATGGATCCGGATTTAATGTATCCGAGAGTACTGAAGGAGTTGGCAAATGTCATTGAGGAACCCTTGGTCATTATCTTTGAAAACTCATGGCGATTGGGAGAGATTCCAAATGATTGGGAAAAGGCAAATGTAGTGCCCATCTTTAAAAAAGGGAAGATGGAAAATCCAGGGAACTACAGACCAGTCAGTCTTGCCTCAGTCCCTGGAAAGATCATGAAGGGGTTCCTCAAGGAATCCATTTTGAAGTACTTGGAAGATAACAAAGTGATCAGGAATAGTCAACATGGATTCATGAAGGGTGAGTCATACCTGATGACTCTGATTTGCTTCTATGATGAGGAAACTGGCTTTGTGGATATGGGAAAGTCAATGGATGTGATTTACCTTGACTTTAGTAAAGCTTTTGATACGGTCTCCCACAATATTCTTGACAGCAAGTTAAGGGATTATTGATTGGATAAATGGACTGTAAAATGGATAGAAAACTGGCTAGACTGTCAGGCCCAATCAGTAGTGATCAATGGCTTGAAGTCAGGTTGGCAGTTGGTTTCTAGTGGAGTGCACCAAGCATTGGTTCTAGGACTGTTTTTGTTCAACATCTTTATTAATGACCTAGATGAGGGGATGGATTGCACCCTGAGGAAGTTTACAGGTGACACTAAGCTAGAGGGAGAAATAGATACACTGGAGGGCAGGAATAGGGTCCAAAGTGACCTAGACAAATTAGAGGATTGGACCAAAGGAAATCTGGTGAGGTTCAACAAGGACAAGCATAGAGTCTTGCACTTGGAATGAAAGAATCCCAAGCTGTTACAGGCTGGGGACAGACTGGCTAAGTAGTAGATCTGTAGAAAAGAACCTGGGGATTACAATGGATGAGAAGCTGGATATGAGTCAAACAGCATGCCCTTGTAGCCAAGAAGGCTAATGGCATATTAGGATGTATTAAGACAAGCATTGCCAGCAGATCTAGAGAAGTGATGATTCCCCTTTATTTGGCTCTGGTGAGGCCACATCTGGAGTATTGTGTCCAGGTCTTCCCCCTCTGCCCTAGTATAGAAAGGATGTTGATGCATTGGAAAGGGCCCAGGGGAAGGCAACCAAAATGATTAGGGGACTGGAGCACATGACCTGTGACAGACTGAGTGAATTGGGTTTCTTTAGCTTGCAGAAGAGAAGCGTGAGGGGGGGATTTGATAGCAATCTTCAACTTCCTGAAGGGAGGTTCCAAAGTGGATGGAGAAAGGCTGTTCACAGTAGTGATGGATGGTAGAACAAGGAACAATGGTCTCAAGTTATAGTGGGGGAGACCTAGGTGTATATTAGGAAAAACTATTTCACTAGAAAAGTGGTGAAGTACTAGAATGGGTTACCTAGGGAGGTGGTGGAATCTGTATTCCTAGAGGTGTTTAAGTCTTTGCTGTACAAAGCCCTGGCTGGGTTGATTTAGGTGGGATTGGTCCTGCCTTGGGCAGGGGGCTGGACTTGATGACTTCCTGAGGTCTCTTCCAGCTCTATGATTTGATTTTATGATTCTATGCTCCTGTGTGTATTATATCATAATTAGCCAATTAGCCCATCATAAGACATGATTTTCAGGTCTCTCCTCCACGTTGGCCTTCTCTCCTGAGCCTCTGGTCTCTCTCCCTCCTCCTCCTCCTGCCTCCCCCCCTCAGCTCTCTTCTGCCTCCTGCCTCTCTGTCTTGCTTCTCCCCCTCCTGCTTCTCACTCAGGGGACCGCAGAGCCCAAATGGTCACTTGCGTCACTTGCTCCCATGTGCAAGAACTCAGCCTAGCACCACTGAGAGAGGCAAAGGGGGGCACGAAGTGGGGGTGGGGTGGTGACATACACAGCCTGGCCCTGCCCCCTTCCCCTCCCACCGTGGTGCTCGGCTGACTTCTGTGCTGCTCAGCCAGGCTGCCGCAGGGGAGCAAGAGGCTGTTTGGGCCCCGAACTCCCCATGCTGCATGGGGACCACGGCACCCAAATGGCTGCTTGCAGTGCTTGCTCTCCCGCAGCGGCCCGGCTGAGCGGTGCAGAAGTCAGCTGAGCACCACAGCAGGAGGCGAAAGACGTGACTCAGGCAACAGTGCCACCCAGAAGGAACAGCCAGGGAAGCAACAGCGCCACCCAGAGGGAACAAGAAGCATTTCAGTGTTACAGAGTCACAGACATTGGGCTACTATATATATGATTGTTGAAATTTGAGTGGTAAATCAAGGTTTTCCCACAGTCATGGTGTTTTCCCCTCTGAATTCTTTAATGTTTAACAAGGCCTGATCTCTCCCCAAAGCTTTTCCCACAGTCAGAACAATCAAAGGGTTTCGCCTCTGTATGGATTCTCTTATGTGTAACAAGATTTGAGCAACTACTGAAGCTCTTCCTAAAATCAGAAGCTCTTCCTAAAATCAGTTGAAAGTTTTCTTTCCTGTGTGCATTGTCCGATGTATATTAAGATGTGATTTCAAACTGAAGCTTTTGCCACAGTCAGAGCAGCTCTGATCTCTCACTGAAGCATTTCCTATAGTCAGAGTTGAAATATGGCTCTGTCATGTGGGTTCTCTGATGCCTACAAAGATGTGAGCTCCTACTAAAATTTTTCCCACAGTCAGAACAAAAAAAGGGTTTCTCCCCTGTGTGGACTCTCTTATGTGTAACAAGATTTGTGTGCCTACTGAAGCTCTTTCCACAGTCAGAGCAGTTGAAAGGTTTCTCTCTTGTGTGGATTCTCTTATGTATAACAAGATGTGAGTGCCCACGAAAGCTCTTCCCACACTCAGAGCAGCTGAAGGGTTTCTCCCCTGTGTGGATTCTCCTGTGTCTAACAAGGACTGATCTTTCACTGAAGCTTTTCCCACAATCAGAGCAACTGAAGGGTTTCTCACCTGTATGGGTTCTCTTATGTGTAACAAGATATGAGCTCCTACTGAAGCTTTTCCCACAGTCAGGGCAGTTGAAGGGTTTCTCCCCTGTGTGGATTCTCTTCAGTCTAACAAGGTCTGATCTCTCACTGAAGTCTTTCCCACAGCCAGAGGAGTTGAAACATGACTCTGTTGTGTGGGTTCTTTGATGTCTACAAAGATGTGAGCGCCTACTAAAACTTTTCCCACAGTCAGAGCAATAAAAGGGTTTCTCCCCTGTGTGGACTCTCTTATGAGTAACAAGATGCGCGCGTCTACTGAAGCTCTTCCCACAATCAGAGCAGTTGAATGGTTTCTCTCTTGTATGGGTTCTCTTATGTCTAGAAAGGTGTGAGCTTCTACCAAAACCTTTCCCACACTCAGAGCAGCTGAAGCATTTCTCCCTTGTGTAGATTCTCTGGTGTTCAGTAAGAGTGGCACAGTCATTATACATGGAGGGTGTTTGTTCATAGAGGATTTTCTGTTGAATGGTTTCTATGTTTCTTTTCACCTCTCTGCTCCTGTGACGGAATTTACCTTGTCCCTTCTCTGGATGGTTTCCCAGCCACCTATCTGGGCTATGTTGACTCTTACAGATCTCGCCCTGCTCACATATCTGGGAAACATTCCCTTCAAATCTTCCCAGTAACATTCCATTTGGTTGCTGAAGACTCTTCTCATTGTTCTCACTCAGCATCCCATCACCTGCTGGGACAGAGAATCCAAACAGGAGTCATTCCCTGTGCTGAGCTGAAAGGAAAACTCTGAACAGGGAACAGAAAAGGGGAACACACCCAAATCATCCTAATAAGTTCAATAATCATGAGCTGAGTCCATCCTCCTTCCCCATAACCATCTCCCAAAGGAGTGAGCCCAACCTTTGGCTCCCACTCTTTGCCCCCTACTCAGACCGGACTTGAAGACAGGCTGAAGAGGCAGTGAGACTTGATGAAAATGTACAAGTAATACCTGCTACAAGGACACAGAAATTGGTTTCTGAGTCAGGTTAGTGGATTGATCACCTATGTGGGGGTCACTGATGATCTCCCCTTCCTCACAGCCCCAAAGATCTGGGATCTGCAGCTCCATCCCTTGCTGCACACAGGAGATCGCTTTCAAAACTAGAAATTCTGCTTGGGGAACAATTAACCAAGTGCTGATTTTATTCGTTAAGGTCTGTGCCATTACTGCTTCCAGAGCCAGGATCTGAGTCACCCACCTAAAGAGGCTCCTTCCCCACCTTGCAGACTGGGCTCTGGCCAGTACAAGATTCCAGGACACACTCACCTGCAGTAAAGATGCATCCCCCGTCTTGGGAATGGCCCAGCTGATTCCAAAGGGGAGCTGAGCACCCTGCTGCACTCTTTAGGGTACAACTAAGTCTCTGTCATGGCCCCTTCCATCCCCCATTCCCATCCCACGGCAGGACAGGATCACACTGCTCAGAAGTGGAGCACCTATTGAGGGGTGGCAGGTCTGACACAGTGTCACCCAGGTAGGGCTCAGACTGCAACTGCCACATGGCAGGTCACTAGGGCTTGGAGAGAAAGGACCCAGCAGAGCTCTAGCTCAAGGGCTCTGTTCACAAAGCTCCTGGCTGGGGGGCTCAGCTGCTCTACTGGGCCAGGAGGCAGGGGAAGTTGTCTGAGCACAAAATGAACCCTTGGCTAGTTGCTTCAGGCCCTGCCTATGTTCCACACTCCCAATCCCAACAGCCTGTGCCTGAAGTATGGCCCACTTGGTTCCCCAGGGGAGCTGAGTGCTCTGTTGCACCCTTGAGGGAAGTGGTTCTCAAAGTGTGGTCCATAGAACACTAGTGGTATGTGAACATCTTGTAGGTGGGCCACAAATTTGGGACTTGCCTCCGAGCCTTCAGTGTGAAGCCAATGCTGGCACTATGGCTCTAAGCACCCCCAAGTTTGGAGTGCCAGCACCAGGTCCCTACTATGTGGGGGGAAGGGCGGAGAAGAGATCAAGCCTTGGGAGCAGAATATGACTTGCAGAAGGAAATGGCTCCATGCTGCCATTCCCCCTCTCTCTGTCTGAAAAACACTCCCATGTCTAGGAGTGGCAGGAAGTATGGAGACAGGTAAGTGACCCCCACCCATCTCAGATTCCACATCCCTATCCCCAGACCTCCACTCTCAGCACACTCCTATACCCAATCTCCCACTCAAACTATCCTCTTCTACACCCATTTTGTCATCACAGGTGGTTGACTTGTGGGGCGCATCTAGACTGGCAAGATTTTGCGCAAAAGCAGTTGCTTTTGCACAAAAACTTGCCAGCTGTCTACACTGGCCACTTGAATTTGTGCAAGAACACTGACGATCTAATGGAAGATTGTCAGTGTTCCTGCGCAAATATTATGATGCTCCCGCTCAGGGATAAGCCCTCTTGCGCAAAAACATTTGCGCAAGAGGGCTTATCCCTGAGCGGGAGCATCATAATATTTGCGCAGGAACACTGACAATCTTCCATTAGATCGTCAGTGTTCTTGCACAAATTCAAGTGGCCAGTGTAGACAGCTGGCAAGTTTTTGTGCAAAAGCATCCGTGCCAATCTAGATGCTCTTTTCTGTTAAAAGCATTTGCGCAAAATCATGCCAGTCTAGACGTAGCCGCAGTCTGTGGAAAGGTCTGCATTAAGCAGTGTGGGCCATAGTCTAAAAAGGTTGAGAACCACAGCTCCAGGGTACAACTAAGTCTCCCTCATGGCCTGTTCCATCCCCTCACCCACCCAGGGCAGGACAGGAACATGCTGCTCAAGAGCCATAGGTAGGGATTAGACTGCAGCAGCCACATGGCAGGTCCCTAGAATGTGGAAAGGACCCAGCAGCTTCCCAGCTGTAGCTCTGTAAGGGCTCTGTCCAGAAAGCTCCTGCTCATTGGCTTGGATGCTCTATTTGAACCAGGTGGAAGCAGACGTATTTACCTGAACGATGAGGCAAGTATTTAGCGTCAGACCCTACCTAGACTCCAGACTCCTGCCCTCTGCCCATGGCTGGGTGGGCCTTGACACTGCCCACAATAGCTGCTGCTTCCATAGCTGGCCATGGTCATTTGGCTGTGCTGCTTCTTTGGGTGGGGGTGGAGGGGGTGTCTCGGGCACACAGCTACCTTGTCCCTGCAGCTCAGCTCCCTTTCTGCTGCCTCGGTTGTACTCTGCCACCACCACCCTCTGTGTGTGGATTCCAGCTTTCCTCGTGGCCAGCCTAGCCTCCCATTTGTTGTCCCCCTTGGCTGCACAGAATCAACCATTCACATTTTTGGCGCCTTCCTCACACTGTCAGCCAGACTCCTTCTTGGACTTTCATTTAGTAAGGGGAAATCCTCCCTGTGGTGTTATAGGATTAAAATATGACCATGTAGGTCATACTCCCACTGTTAGCACAAGATTTGTTGTAATTGTGTATGTGTGTCATGTGCGGTCCGCCAATGGGAATGTTCAGATGTGATGATTTTGATTATCCTGTCTGCACGTGGACATCATTTTTGTACCTCAAGTTATGAATACTGACCATGCAGTCGAATTTCAAATGTAGTTGCTGATGTGGAAACACCTAAAATATAATTTCCATCCCATCCAGCCAGTGCACTGTGAGTGGAGCATTCAGAGGGATGGTCCATCCACAAAACATGCAGGACCTGGAAAGCTCATCCCCCACGGACAGACTTTCCTATGGACTTTTCAGCCAGGTGGTGGGCAATGCTGCCATGGCTCATCAGAGCAGGAAAGGGCATGTGACCAGCTCATGTCACTAAACTCCATCTGGCCCCTGTATGTTTCTACTCACAGTACTGGGAGCTTTGCATGGAACAATGAGTCCCCTCCACTTGTGCGCCCTGTCAGCTGCGTACACGTGCGGCTGCCCAGCAGATCAGCAGAGTGTGCATGGCTGGCAGCACGTGCTCAGGTGCTGCTAAGCCACCTTGCACTGTCCTGCAGTTGCTCCCAGGAAGAAACCTCCTACTAACTGCAAAGAGTGGGGGGGAAGTCAGTGCTGATCTCAGGATGTCCCCTGAGCCTGTACCCCATCTCCACAGAGCATGGCAGAGAGGACACAGCCTGGTCCAGAAACTTCCCCAGTGTCATCCAGCACACACAAAATCTCTCTCTCTCTGTCACCCATGTGGTTGGAAAGTAAACATCATCTCTGTATCTCCACACAGTCACCTCACAGAACATCACTCTATTACTGTTGTTACTGCCTGGCACTACCGATAACACACATATAACATGTCATTTTATTCTTTCCAAGTGTGGATGTTAACAATCTGTCTGGTCTATGCATTCAATACTTTTTACATCTCTTGCACTTGCATTTAACTCTGAGTCGTGAGTGCTGAATGAACTAGCCTGTCCTGACTGGGCTGATTAGCCGTATGGTAACTTCTAAAAAATTAGATATTAAATATAAAAGGGTTTTATATAAAAGGGTTCCCATCAAACGAACCTTTCCCGACAGATGTCCACCAGCTGTCAACCGAAACTCACCTTGGCCAAACGCAAGCGCTTCCTCTGTCCCTGTTGATAGGAGGCGACACACCAGTTGGCTTAGAACTGCAGAGAAATCAGAGCTTGGGGTTTGCTCTATAATTCTAGCAGTGGAACACAGTGGGGGCACCGCATTCCTCCTCCCCATCACATCACAACGTGTGAGATATGCCAGGAATAACACTGACAATCAGGAGGAAATTAACACTAGCTCCTCACCCCAGCCTCAGAGCTGCCTCAACAAGAAGTAAAGGAAAGCTGAGCTTGGACTGACCTCATGCTTGGCACCCCACCCCCAGTGCAGCCTGCTCCCCCCTGCCCAGTCTGAGCATAGGCTCTAGCAAACACCAGCAGCTGGCAGCCCAGCTGGTGCTGGGATGCTTCAAACAGCCCTCCACCATCTCATCCCACTGACCCTGTCACTCCTTCCCCTATTCTCCCAAGCTACCCCACTCCCACCCACTCCCTATTTCCACATCACATGACCATCTTCCACATCCTCTGCAGGGTCCAGCAGGCACCTCTTTAGTGGAACCCTGCCTCGTGGCTCCACCCACTGGGTCTGTGCCCATTTACTTCTTCACGTGCAGCTGTGCAGGCACCTTAGAACAGTGGTTCCCAATTGCTGGTCCGCGGACCAGTGGTGGGCCGTGAACTGCTGGTTGCCGGGCCAAGATACACTGCCTGCACATGGGTGGGTGTTGCGCTAGAACTCAGCAGCAGCCAGCAGGAGTCTGGGAGCCTATTACTCAATCGGACCCAGAAGCAAGAGGAAGCAATCCCTGGCTCCGTCCAGGCAGCAGGAAGGGACTCACAGCCACTGCCTGCTAAGATTATGAGGCCTGACAAAGGCCGGATCCCTGAGCCTGGGTTGGGAGGAGAGGGGGCGGTGGCACTGCTGGGCCCCACAGCTCAGGCTGCAGCTCAGCGGGAAACCTCCCGGGCCAGCCCCCCCAGCCTAGCCTCTGCCCCAGGGCAGGCAGCGCTTGGGGACAGGGCAGAGAGACACCCCGCTCCTGTCCCTCTGGGAACAGGGCCCCAGTGCTCCAGGGGGAGGGTTTGTCCCCAGGATGCTCCCAGCAGAGGGGACTGCAATCCCTGCCTGGGCCCAGGGAAGCTGCCACCAGCTCCCAAGGTGGGCGGGGGGTGGGGGGGAA